TTAGCAAAAAAATAGAGCATAGTTTTTGGTGTGCTGCAGAATTTTAGTAATTAGCTTATGCGTGCCAGTAGATGAAAAAGATTGAAAATCAACAGTCATTGTCTCAAAAGGTATTAAAATAAAAATTTCACGGGGGCAGGGGGCGGAAAGGAGGCTGGTTTCCAATAACTCGAAAGCCTTGGGAAAAAAAAAATCCCCAAACTCAGCATCATGAATTCTATTCAACTTCAGAACTTTTGCTTCTGTATTCAGCGATGCACGTCCACCCCCTCAGTGTCTCTTTAACAATGCAAAGACCCACCTCTAGTCTTGTTTCTCGGTTAATACTGGTTAATATTCCGGGCTAATACTTTACAGCAGTATTTCTGAAGGGGTTCATCCTGACACAGGTTAACCTAATCAGAAACTACACTGATGCCAATAGAGACGAAACATCAAGGTAACGCGTAGGATTTTATTTTTAAAATATCGGTATGATACTCTGGTATGGAATAAGGTGTACAAATCTGCACGCATCACATTCATAAAAGCCACCAAATCCTGTGCATCAGAAATACAGAAACAAAGGGATCTGGTTAGGTAACAATGATTGCAACACTCAGATGGAAAACGAACTAAGTGTGCAAGCTCTTGTGTCAATGTGAACGGGTGTTCGGATCCCAATCGCCAGCCTTATCTCAAACCCACAGAGAGAATGGGAGGGGGCGGAGAGGGGGCTGGATGGAGTTCGGAGACCTGACTCCACTGCTGAACAGCTCTGTGGCTTCTTGTGAATCAATGAAGCCAGCTAACATCTGTTTCCTAGTGTTCATATTTGTCAAAAGGAGGAGGACGAGGGAACGAGGAAGGCCTCAAATTTAATGATTATAAACACTCAATGTCTGCAAACTTCCACCCTGCTGATTACTGATCATATTTTATCATTTTACTCTTTTAAAAAGTATTTTTATTGATTTCAGAGAGGAAGGGAGAAGGAGAGAGGGATAGAAACATCAATGATGAGAATCATTGATCGGCTGCCTCCTGCATGCCCTACACTGGGGGTGAAGCCCGCAACCTGGGCATGTGCCCTGACGGGGAATTGAACCATGACCTCCTGGTTCATAGGTAGATGCTCAACCAGTGAGCCACGCTGGCCAGGCTCATGTTTTAATTCTAAATCTTTTATTTTAAAATCCCATGAAATATTTTCAGAAAAGCGTTTAAAATTATTAGCTTTCCTTTCCAAATGCTTTTCTTTCCCATTTAGGTAATTCTAAATATAAGTTTTAAGGGGACATTTAAATCATATCAAGGCACTCATGGGATAGGATTTGATTAACTTCTGGCCAACGACTGTGGGTAAGATTAAAAATGAATGTGTTCTCACAGATCTTCAATGTAAATGAACACAAGTGTCTTGAATACAAGTTGAACGGGCCATGCAAAATCTCACCAGTTTTAATAATAAAAGTAAAGAAAGTAGACTTACAGCAGCTGTATTTTAGAGCTGGAAGAGAGAATGACTTAGCTTAGTCAATGAATGGACAGAACCACTTCTCCAGGAAGGAGGCTGGCTTGAGCACGCCCCTCTTTCCTGAGAAGCGAGGGCGGAGTGATTCACCCACAAAGACACCGTTGCATTCTTGGGCTAAGCTACCATGCACACAGCCTGTCTGTCACAGAGAGTGAATTGCTAAGAAAAACGCATCTTGCCCTCTAAATCTCGACATGTTCAGAGGACGGGACTCAGTCGGACTTCTCGTGGAAATGAGGTGCAACAGAAACTCTTGTTAGTGTGAACACTTTCTAAGATGTCTTAGTGTCGCTGTGAATGCCATGCTGCAAAGGAGGATCTGTAGGCAAGAAGGTTGCACCTCGTTGCTGGCATGGCTTCTCTGGTTAGTCCCTTTCCAAATGCAAAATGAACGCAGCGCCATAAACACCATTTAGCTTTTCTCTGATGAGCAAGGACCAGTCAATTCCTGTTGGCAACATCCTAGACACCAATTCCCTGTGTGTCCTGATACGGGCAGTCTCTGAGAAATGGAAGGAACATATGCCGATCCCAGACTGTGCTCTGAAGGTTCTCTCTTTAAATAAGTGAACGGCATTAGATCCTTCGTATGTTTCTTTCACAAGAATATTGCTATTGATTTCAGAGAGGAAGAGAGACAGAGAAACCTATCAATGATGAGAGAGAATCATTGATCGGCTGCCTCCTGCACACCCCTCACTGGGGATCGAGCCCACAACCTGGGCTTGTGCCCTGACTGGGAATTGAACTGTGACCTGCTGGTTCATAGCTCGACGCTCAACCACTGAGCCAGGCCGGCCGAGTCTTCATCTGCCTTTTACCAGCTCCTGCAAGTGGGGCATCAGCCTTATAGGAGATCTGGCCAAACAACGATTACACATCAGGGAATAAAGTCCAAATGAGAAAAAGACAACCTTTGAGCTTCCTTAACAGTTTAGCAAATGATAGGGCTGATGCAGCATCGTTACCCGTCTGGGCATCCGGTCAGCTACAGCAAAAGCAATTCTTCAAAGACCGGTTTTGGCCCCTGACACCTCATAGGACAAGGTCCACCTCACAGGAAGATGGACCTTTCCCTGTGAGGCCCAGGTGGGCACATAATGGCCTGCAGGCTATTTAGTGAGGATAAATATTTGGTTCTTCCAAAGCTACCTTCACGTTGAACGTTATTTCCTCCATGACGTACACGCGCTCAGGGAACGCTTTGGCCACCTCCTCCACGCTGTTGAAATATTGCACTGGCTCCTTTATATCTCGGTCCTGTTCCAGCAGCTTGAATTGGCCTGAAAGACATGATAAACAGAAGAGAGGTGAGATGTTTACGGGGCACCGCTGTCCCCGTGGTGACGGGATCCCCTT